TAATAGTAAACTGCCAGGTGGATTGCAGTGTTAAGATGGCCTTCAGCCCTCTCCCTGAGGACTACAGGAGGCTGCTTGTGTCTGGGCCTACATAGACCTCCAGGATAAGGAGATGGGAATGAAATATGTAGTTGACATTTGGGGAGGGATCTTAACAGGAAGGAAGTATGGACTGGGGTGAGAAGAAAACAGATCCAATCCGTTGGGGGAATTAGAACAAATTTGTCAGATGAAAGATTTACAAGAAATTAGAGATTTGAATGTGTTCAGGAAAACATCATAAAAGATTATGATGCTATTCCTTGTATTCGCATTGTTCTGTCACACAATTGTATGCTCTCAGTATCGCTGAGACAAGTAAGGTATGATTACAGTTCCTACTTTATAGATGGAAAAAAGTGGAGATTCATATTTTAAACGGCAGTAGCAGGTACCCATTACTGGATGTTCATTCATTCACTCATCTAATCCTGAGTCCTTACAAAATGCTAGGTTCTAGCATGCGTCTAGAAGTGCAGATGTTGGCAAAGCACATCCTCCTCAGAAAATGTGTTTTCTGTGAGCTTATACCATAGAAAAGGAAAGATGGACAATAAACTGGATAAATAAAGTAAATGATACAGTATTGTATTTTTATCATGATCCTAGTGAGAAATATTAATAAGTGAAGATGATTTAAATTTTAGGTGGGTTATGTGGAGGGTTTTTGGAAGTAGAGTGACATGCTAGGTATGGTAGTATATGCTTGTGATCTTAGTACTTGGGAGATGGAGGTAGAGGGTCAGGAGTTCAAGATCACTGTCAGCTACATGGGAGTTACAATTAGGAGTTGCCTTGGGTCTCAGAAGAGACTTTGGACTTCTATATTAATCATTGTTGAGACTATGAAAGACTCTGGGGACTTTTGAAGTTGGACTAAATGCATTTTGAGTTAAGATACGGCCAGGAGCCTTGGGTGGTGGACTGTGCTGGATTGGATGAGAATGTCCCCCAGAGGCTCGGGTGTTTGAATACAAGGTCCCCAGTTGGTAGGGTTAGGAGTTTGGTTTTCCTGGAGAAAGTATGTCACTGAAGGCAGGTCTTGGGAGTTTAAAGACTCACACCATTTCAGTTTCTCTCTCTCTCTCTCTCTCTCTCTCTCTCTCTCTC